GGCAAGGCCCACCACTCAGCCGAGTCCAGCCAGGGCAGGAAGGGGGGCACTCCTGCCAGGCCTGCCTCCGAAACTTGGACCAACATCCCTCCACATCAGAAGGAGAGGGAGGAACATTTGCGCTTTTATCACCAGCAGTTCCAGCAGCCACCTCTCCTCCAACAGAAGTTAAAGTACCAACCACTGGAAAAGTTCCTGTGCCAGGCCAGGCCCCGAGAAGGGCAGCTCCACGCCGCGACGACCCCTCCCGTCCGCGCTTGTTCCGAGAGCCGTGACGGAGCCCAACCCGAGGACCCGGATGACAGCGACTTCAGTGAAGACTCTTTTTCACATGTCTCCAGTCAGAGGACCACGAGGCAGAGAAACACCCTGCAGAACAACAGCGAAGCCTCCTTCTTCCTTCATCAGAGAGAACAAGGTCCTGAGGAGCAGGAGGTAGAAAGACAGCAGAGTCTGTTTTTTAGTCCCTGGACAGACAGTGATGGGAAGGGTCTAACCGGAAGCTGGATGGACACCGGGGACCATACCGGTCACAGAAGGGCCACATTCGAGCCTGGCCACAAGCCAAGTAAGGTGCCCTTGGACTGGAGCAGAGAAGACAATACCTCCCTGGGGCCTCCCCTCAGAGACAGCCTGGCAGAGAAACCTTACTGTTCACAGGTTGACTTTGTGTGTAGCCAGAAGAGAGGTGGCGGCCCAGCCGCAGACCTCAGACAGGCTGCCTTCAGCAGTGAGGTTCCTCAGGAGGCTGAGGGCAGCCTGCCGTCCCTGGAGGAAGAGGATTTCACTTCCTCACTATCCCACATTGCTGTTCCTGGCTCCCCAGACCTGAGAGACATAGTCAGCACGCCTCTGAGAAAAGTCAGTGAAGACAGCCCAAGTCCAGCGGCGAGAACAGTGAAGAACAGTGACCCCTTCCGAGAAGACGACTCTGGAGGAGGATTGGGCACGTGCTCGGAATATGCTTCTGGACTGATGGCTCCCCTTACAGTGTCCCTCTTGGAGAACCCAGACAGTGGGGGCGCTCCTCCCTTGGAGCAGGTGACCCGGGATGAGGTTACACAGAGTCTGGCGGTGGTGGGCACGGCTGGGGGCCACATGGTGTCACATGATGATCAAGAGGCCGTCTCGCCATTGTCTGCAACAGCTGGGCGCCTGTGGCTTTCATCATCTCCTCCTGACAATAAGCCTGGTGGGGACCTCCCGGCTCTGTCCCCATCACCCATCCGTCAGCACCCACCTGACAGGCCGCCCTCCAGGGAGGCTGAGCTGGGGGAGGCCAACCAGAGCAGAGACACTGTATTCCTCTCCCGGGAAGCTGCGGGAAGTGAGCAGTATGATGCAGATGCTGAGGACACAGAGCTGGGCAGCTTCCGCGGCTTTCCAGGAAAGCCCTTTACCACCGTACAGCCTGGGCACCCTCACTCTGGGCCTACACTCAGCACACAAGCAGGAGCTTCTGAAGTGGCCGACCAGCCCTGGGTCCAGGAGAGAAAGAATCCGGCAGGGCTCAGTTGGCAGAGGCTGGGTTTCCCCACAGACCCCATCAAGTTCCCCGGCTACAATGAGGACATTGCGTGGCTCAAGCACAGGCCAAGGTGTTCAGCAAGGCCGGGGTCTCCCTTGGCCCCTAGCTGCTCTCCCAAGATGGCAGGGACACTCTGTCAGCCAACCCTGGGGCACGCACAGTAAGTTGGACTTTCTCCCCAAGACGAGTTCCTTTGACACCCCCACTCCCACCCCAGCTTAATGTTCTGTCTGTCCTGGGAATGACCAGTCTGCTCAGTGTCAGGGCCGTATTACAAGAGCAGCTTTATTCCACTTCTCAGGGGAGCCTGCCTAGATGCCTCAGAGTTGGAGGAGTACAATGACTTGGAGCAGGCCTGTTGGGGCTGTTGCCTCAGCCTGACAAAGCTGAGACCTGAGTGAGGGAAGGGAGATCAGTCCCCTTAGGCCTGTGGCCTGTGGCGTATCAGAAGCCTCCTCTTCCTTGTGTTGGGCCTCTGTCCCCGAAGGGCCGTCCTTGTTCAACTTTGTTCCCTCGAGCTGAGACAAAGCACGCTCCAAGACGGGAAAGGCCGGAAACAGGGCCTGGGGATTTGTGCCTTTCCCCAAAAGATGCTGCGTATGGGCCGGAAAAAAGGAGAGGAGACAGCCTTGGAGGATGTGAAAGGAAGGAGACCGTCGACAGCAGGGTCCCTCTCAGCATCCGAGGCCCAGGGGCTAGAGGGGAGGGCGGGCCTGTGGGAACAGATGCTTCCTCCGTGAGGCTGTCGCCCTTTGCCAGGGCTCCTGATAACCGGCTTTCTGGACAAGCAGGGCTGCACAGATGAGGCGCCCGCTGCTCGCAGGTCAACAGTCTTCCTGTCTTTCCCAGTTTCCACGGCGCTCCTTCACTCCTTGACAAAGCCTGAAAACCGGTGAGGTGGGGGAAAGGGAGCTGTGCTGGTCAGAGCCTTGACTGCCTTGGGCAGACAGCTCCTGGTCTGGAGATGAGGCTGAGCCCAGAAAGCTGCCCCGGGAAAGGTGGGAGGACTCGAAGATCACAACGTCCCCTCTGGTGTTCCCAGGCAGGTGGTTATCCGAGCACACCAGGAACAGCTGGATGAAATGGCCGAGCTGGGCTTCAAGGAGGAGACTCTGATGAACCGGCTGGCTCCTAACGTAAGTGGCCTCGGCTGGACACTCAGGGCTGTTGGGAAGTAGCCTGCAGCTGGTTGGACAGTTGTCCTTGTTTGCTGTGGTTTTATGGGGTGAGAGGAGTGCTGTCACGTACTACCCATGGTTGAGGGAGGCCTTGTGCACGCATCCTCTTGCCTCTGCTCTGAGATGACAGAGTTCAAGGGGCTACGAGGACAGGTGGGGGAGTGTGTTTACACGCCCATTCCCAGGCTAACATGTTTCTGGTGCCTCTCTTGCCACTCTGCCTTCCTAGTGGCTTGTGGGGGCCCGCCCCTCCCTGTCATGGTCAGTGTGACTTGCCACGTGCAGAGATTACCGGTGCAGAAATACCCCCTGCTCGACTAAATAGCTCCCTAGGTAGAAAGTGTCTCACACACAGAAGTGCTGCAGGATTGTCCTGCGGGTTTCCAGCTGGGAAAGGCCTAGGCTTTGAAACTTTCCTGCAAGAGAGGCTAGGAAAGTAGATCTGACCAGCAGCCTGTCAGAGCACAAGCGCCATTTGTCTTTTATTTCCTTTTTCAGGATTTTGAAGATTTTGTGACCCAGTTGGATGAAATCATGGCTCTGAAATCCAAGTGCATCCAGAGTCTGAGGAGCGAGCTGCAGCTCTATCTGGCCTGCCACAAGCCAGCCTCAGCCCCTGAGAGGACGGTGGTGTCTTAGGACAAGATCCGGTACAGGGGGGCAGGGGCCGTTCAGGAGCCCGAGCAGGGCTCTCAGGGACAGAAGGGGCCTCTGCCAGATCCTCTCTGCAGATACCAGACCCACGTCCTGGTCCTGCCCATCCTGGCCTCGCCCAGTCACAATGGCCTTGGCAAGACTCCGGCTCCTCAGGGTCAGGCCTCTCCCTCCACATCAAGCACAGCTGCATCTGTGAGAAAGAACTCAGTGTGCCCGCTCCCTTTCCTTTGGGGCTGGAAGGGAATGTGCTTCCCCTCATCTGTGGGGGCGCACTTGGTCTAATAACCCTGTAGATGTATGAGCTTGAGAATCCGAGGATAGGGGGCGGGGGTCTGGTGATCTAGAGGTCAGGCCACAAGCTGGAGACCATGTCTAGCCCAGGGACTTCGTCAGTTGGACTCTGTGCCTTTCATCAAGACTTGGCCAAAAACTGAACACTGGTGCTAGCGGGATGGGGGCAGGGGAGTTCTGCTCCTTCAGCCCGTGCCGATGGCTTTGGGGTTTCAGGTTACATTTTGAAAATGTAAAATAAACCTTGACTTGATGCGTATTTAACAGCCGCAGATTTATGCTTTGTTTTCCTCCCTTCACGCAGTCCAGTTTTGAAACAGAAGAGGGTGTCCACGTCACTGCATCATTTTTTTCCCCATCTCTGCCTTTTGCTTGGGACCATCAGCCTGTTACAAGCTCCAGAAGCTTCATGCTCCCATAGCAGTTCCACCCGCCCTCATGGACTAGTTGACGCATTGAAGGATCTCAGGCAAGTCCAAACCCTGTAGCCTTACTTCCTGCCAGGATCACCCCGCTCTCTACTCGCCCCTCGGGGGCCTGTGTTCTGTGTCACAGCACAGAGTCCTCAACAGTCTGCGATGCTGCAGCAGGATTCTGCACACACACCCTTTCATGTAAGCTCTATCTTTTGGGCAGGACACAACAGGGCATAAAAAAATCCAAGCTGTCTAGGTGGCCCATCGCTTTCAAGGCCACCCTGTGCAAATTGAGATCTCATGTGACCCCACCTGGGTCCAGACACCTATTATGGTGTGAGACTTCACATTCCCTAAGAGTAAGGTATTAAAAGGATAACTTTTAATACCTTAAAAAGCACTTAACATACCAGGAGCGGGGCTAACTGGCTGAGACTAGCTGACAACCCGCCAGGGCTCTGTCAACCTCCGCCTGTGCCGGGTCTGACCACCAGAGGGCGCCCTCTTTCCAGCAGCGCTTCCTGGCCTAAGGCGCAGTAGCCCTCCTCAGTGATCCCATTTGAGAGCCACTCCCCAACCGCGAGCACAAGCAGTTGTACAGGACGACAAACCTTACGAATGAATTTAGTTTTATCAGATATAACAGTACCACTGAGACCGGCAGAGCAATTGGAAGCCAGTTCCTCCACCTGTGGCACGGCGCAGACATGCCTACGCTGCTCCCAGGAAAAGGGACTTCCTCACCTCTGGGTGATCTCCTCCAGGGGTCCACCTGCCCCACATGCACAGGCAGGCTTGGAGGAAGGCATCTGTCCCTGGCCCAGAGCCAGAGCCAGATTTAAACAGACCTTCAACTGTGCCTGCCTTTGCAAACCAACCACCAGGGCAGACTGGTGGGGCCAGCTCCCGGGTCGGAGAAAATACTGAAGTGACACGAGAGTTAGGGCCTGTTCCACCCGAGCAAATCTAAGCAGGAAATCCCTTCACCCACATTCACCCTCTTCCCACAGTAAACTCATCTCTGGCAATAAATTATTACAGCAGCATTTATACCTTTTAGATTTTTATTAGTTATCTCTGAAGAATCAAAATAGTTATTAGCAAATTACTTTAGATTCATCAAGACTGTATATCCTTTGTATTTAGATCTTTAATGATGTACAACATCATACAAAACAAAAGAGACTGATTTCTATGACTAGTTATTATTTGTTGTATCATCCTAGAGCGGGGGGGCTGGAGGGAGAGGCTGTTCTCCAGGAGAACTGAGGTGTGGAATTAGTGCTGAGCGACTAAATCGTGGCTTGTTTCTCCCCCACTCTGTGCTAGGAAGGATCCAGTGATTTATTAAACCGGCAACTGTTAGAGCAGGGGGTCCTAAAAATCCTGGGTAGCCGAGGATTGTGGTCCAAACCAAGCCAGAACAAACAGGCTGCGGAAGGAAAGCATGGTCACTGCCTGGCTGAAGAGGCAAACCGAGGGCCCTTGGGGAAAGGACAGCTTTGCGCCTCGGGCGCCCCAGAACCAGTGTAACACTAAGACTCTGTTAAAGGGGGAAAATGAAAACAAAACCCTGGAAAAACCTTTCAATTGCACGCAACCGGGGTTAGAGGTTCAGTCCACCAGCACAGAGAAGGGGAGCATCTAGCCCCGAAGCAGCACTGAGTCTGGCCCTCCCACCTTGCTCCCTGACTCTTTCAGGCAGCCAGGCCAGGTTTCAGCTAAGGACAAACCCCAGAAAGACCAGGGAAGTCTCTCTGGAGGGCCAAGGTGGGAAGGACACTTCTCAAAATACAAATACGTTTAATACGGAAGGAACCAGGACGGTTCTGGGGGTGTTCACATGCCCCAATCTCCCCACCTTCTCCTCAGCTCAGGGCCTAGGCTCACAGAGGCTGGCGAGCAGAGTCTCCACACCTGACTTCCACCCCCCACCCCACCCCAAAGAAAATCTGGAAGTGTGCCCCACAGGTGGCTCTCCAGGGCCTCCTGCAGGGGGCTGGTTCCGTGGCAGGGCCTAGGCAGGGCCTGGTCTCAGCTGGCTCCTGCCCGAGCCATGAGGTCTTCCAAAGCATCGTCCTGGTCGTTGTTGTGTAATAACAGAACTTCCTTAATGTCTTTCAGTTCAAAGCCCATTTCCTTAAATTTGCTCATAAGCTGAAGAAACTCCATCATCTAAGGGAAAGAAAAGAATATAGATCAAAGTGGTGGTGCAGCCACACAGCACAGCTAAAGGCAGGCATATTTGTGCAGGGGCTGCCTGGGGGAGTCTGCACCCTCTCCCGGAGCCATGCTCAGCCCCAACTCTTGCTGACCTGCGTCTGGGTCCCACCACCCATATCCACACGCCCACCACGGCAGGATACTGAGCCCAGAACAGAGACAAAGGCATTAGCAACCTTCCTAGTTACCCAAAACCATGGCCTACTTAGACCAGGTCACTTTTTCCTTCCCTTCCCTGGGGTCCTAGTCAGTCTTCAACCTAATGCTTCATCGAAGCCAAAAAGACCCAAATTAGCCAAACAACTGTCTGGACACTTGGAAGATTCGGTGCTTCTACTGCCTTTGCCCACAGACATTGGGAAGGGGATATGTGGGACCAGGGGGGGCCCGGGACAGATTACTTTGTGCTTCCTTTCTAGAGATTTCCTATAAAGCACGAATGTTCCCACCTTTTCCTCTGAACACTGATGCATTTCCAGAGCCTCTTCCACTAAAAGAGGATCGAAGCCCTTCTCACAGAGTTGTCCGTGTGCAAAGAGATAGTCGAGAATCTATGAAAAGAAACGAGGTTTGAGCACCTTCTGCCACTCCTGTCTTTGCTGTCCAAGAGTCTTACAGACCAGCAAGTAAAACAACTCCCCTCCCCACCCCAGATATTAAATCCTGGCTGGGACTTGATTTTGTGCCTTGAGCTGTATCCACTACAGAACCCCGGTGCCTGTCTGCTTTATTGACCGGTACACCTTTCCGAGTAGCCATTCTCCACAGGGGTCCCTGCTACAGCTCACTTCTATCTCCCAGAACATCAGCTCCACAGCCTGGGCAGGGTATTTCCCTAAGAAACAGCCCAACTTAGAAAATGCCACCAAGGTTTAGGGCCACAGTGCCCTCTTTTGGAACTCCCCAGGCAGCAAAGACAGGTTAAACATTTCTGGAAGGAGACATCTGACCACACCTCAAGCTTAGTGTGCCCTCTCAGGAGAAAGAGAGATGGGGGCAGATAACCCAGGCTTTCCCTCGGCGTAGCTCCCAGAGTAGTCCCAAAGCAGAAGTCCTGCTGCCGAGGCCGCTGATTTCTCCAATAAAGCATGTAAGTCGCCCCCACCCCCCCCACCCCCAAACTCAGGAAATGACGCTGGGGCCATGAGTCTGAGGGGCTCTAGGCTAGAACAAGACACTAACCCAGCTCCAAAGGTCAAGGAGCCTCTCTCCTACCTGAACCCCCCTCTACTCCCCTGCTGGCCAACCACTCACCTGCTCGATATTTTCTCCTTTCTTCTTCATGGCTCTCAAGACACACTCATATGAGTAGCCCATGTTGACCACTGTCTCCACACAATGCCGCTCACTGGGGGACAGCGTCTGCAGTTCAGAATAGGCCTGGGGCCCGCTGGGATTATTGGGCACTTGTGACACTGAGAAATTAGGAGGTGTGACCTGGTGATAGAGAAACAAGAGTATTGAAGCAAGAAGAAAGAAGACCTGGCCCCCGGAAGACCTGTCACTGAGGGGGTCCAATCCGGGGGCTTGCCATTTCTCCTACTCATCAAACCCCCAATCAGTCTGGAAGAAAGGGCCAGGCCACCGGCCAGGCATCCTGAGCAGAAAGAGAGGGACAGGGAAGCAACAGAGAAAAAAGCTGGGAAAACATCCGCCCTGTTCCCACCTTGCCCGATGAGAAAGCACCATAGGAGCTGTATGTGCTTCCGTGCCCAAATGAATGCCCTGGGCTAGAATTACAGAAAGTTCTGAGACTGCCCACTGGACTGACGCCCAAGCAAGCTGCCATGATCTCTCTCCAGTGCTCCACTTATCCCTCTCCTAGGCCACTGCAGCTCCGAGTCTTGAAGGGAGTATTCACTCAAAACCTTCCACTCTAGAGCTAACTCTCCCAACAATATCCTTTCTTCGATCACTGGGGAGAAACTGAGTGATGCTGCCACACATAGCTAGCTCAGGACCCAGAACTTTGAGGATAGTCTACCTTTGCCCGCGGCCTCGCTGAGTTCCATTCCAGCTATTACTGCCATCCTAGAGAGCCGGGACTGAAGGATTACTAGCCAGGCCAGCTGGGGCCCTGCCTCTACTGCACTGGCTACAGGCAGTCTGCTCCCTGCTACCAGCCCTTACTAACCCCAGTCTGATTGGTGGACAGATTCCCATGATTTAACTTCCCACCACTTTTGATAATGAATCAGGCCTAAGGCATGAAATCAGCTCACTCCCGAGCCAAAGGATCCAGCCACATGGGAACAAGGTCACAAGCTGTCTTACAGCTTGGCCCAGTTCCCAAGAACCAAGGAAAATATTTCAACAGAATTTCCTTTATTTCCTTTTTTTAGGGGGATGGGTGGTTAGGAGGCAGGGAGCCTGCTGTCCCAGAAGCATGTGCAAAATTACATAGCTGTAACCACTAAGTCAGCTACGGGTCTCACAGTCCATCTATTCTACTTAACCATCTCACCCACAGCCCAGTCATTAAGTTACAGGAGTCATGACAAGGCAGAGACTGGATCATATCTACCTGGCACTTCTGCAGGGGAAGCCTGTCTCTTGCCCCCTTTCTCCATGGCATACTACTTGGGTTCAGAAACGCCTGGTGGCGCAGGTGGTTGAGCACAGTGCTGTGAAGCTGTCCGCAGCCTCTGCAGCACTGGTTTGATCCAGCCAGCCGGCAAGGGTCTCACAGGGCGGAGCAGACCTCTCCTGTCTCGCCCGCTACTCCCCTCAGCAGTGTATTTCGTCAGTCTGCCTGTTCTGTTCCCTTCTGTGTCTGTGGTGAGTCCTCTCACCCTCCCGCACATCTGGCCTGTACCTGGGTCTTGTATAAATAAATCAATCTTTAAAAAAAAAAACAACAGCCATATAGCATTTTTGTGAGGCCCTAGGAGTTTGTTAGCACAATGCATTTCTGAATCCCCATGGCCTGGCACTTACAGGGTTCTGACAAACAGTTGAATAAATGGAGGTCTATCAAGACTCTATCAAGACTCTAAAAGGGGGTTTAACACAGCAAAAACCCCACTTAAGGAATAAAGCAATTTAAACTGTTTTATCAAGGTCAAAGAAAAAGGAAAAAGTAGTGGGCAATATAGTTCAAAGACATTCAAAAATATGGAAAGCTAAAGGAGCCATGGTAAGTGTCAGAAGCAACTTAGTTATGAGAAAAGGCAGGAACAGGAGAGTCGGTTCATCTCAAGATGCCTCCCAGGCATGCAGTACTGCTCAGACAAGACCCAGCACAAAGTCAGTGACCATAATAACACCCTCAGGTAAAAATTCCCCTCCCCGCCCCATCCACACCTACACCAGCCACCAGAGGACTAAACAGTACAGCAGCGTGAGCTGTAAAAACCAAGCTGGAACACATGAATTACCTTCCTGAGCCCTCAGGAGAAACTGTAATAGCCCTAAGAGCTTCACATGTTGCCAGTTAGCACAGCCCTCACTTCCCCCCAACTAACCTTCAACCTATAGTGAAGCTTAATAAGCAGCAAGGAGGGAGCCTCCCGGGTGGCTCAGCGGTTGAGCACTGGGTTGCGAAGCTGCCCGCGGCCTCTGCGGCGCCGGTTCAATCCCCGGCGCCGGTTCAATCCCCGGCGCCGGTTCAATCCCCGGCGCCGGTTCAATCCCCGGCTGCTCCCTGGCCACCAGAGGTGGGTCCCTAATCAGCAAGGAGGGGGCCTCCCTGGTGGCGCAGCGGTTGAGCGCTGGGTTGCGAAGCTGCCTGCGGCCTCTGCGGCGCTGGTTCAATCCCCGGCTGCTCCCCGGCCACCAGAGGAGGGTCCCGCATGGCGCGCAGACCTCTCCTGCCGCCCACCACTCCCCTCAGCAGTGTACCTCGGTCCCTCTGCCTGCTCTGCTTACCCGCTCTGGTGAATTCTCTCACCCTCCCACGCTTCTGACTGTACCCAGTGCATGTATAAACAAATAAATTAAAAACATGCCTCTATTTAAAAAAAAAAAAATCAGCAAGGATGGGTCTCCCTGGTGGCACAAGGGTTAAGGCATCAACCTATGAAGCAATCCACAGCCACCACAGCACAAGTTCGATTCCTGACCAGGGAGGTACCCACATGGCACAGTAGACCTCTCCTGTCTCCCCACGGCACCCCTCAGCAGTATATTTCAGTCCATCTGCCTGTTCTGCTCCCCACTCTGTCTCTGGTGAATTCTCCCACCCCCCGCAACTCTGGCCTGTACCCCAGCTCTTGTATGTATAAATAAATCAATCTTTAAAAAAAAATAATCAGCAAGGATACCTCAACACAGATATCGCACCGTTTATAGGGTTGCTCAAAATGGGAAAAATCAAAATCACCAACATAAGATACCGAATCAAAAGAGACTAGATAAAAGCAAATGAAAATTTAAAATACGATAAAAATATTTAAAAGGTGGTGAGACTGAAAAAGGGGGTGAAGCAGCAGCAGGAGGGCAGGGTGGGGAGTCGGGCAGGAGGAATTTAGAAAGATTTTCCCCTTCTTTGACAAAGTATTTATAAGCTGAAAGCAGTACAGCTGAAATTGTAACCAAAGGAGGCATTATGTTTCCAGAAAAATCTCAAGGAAAGCACTGTTAGCAACAGTAGTAGTGGTAGCTGTTAGATTAGGCTCTAAAGGAAAGGGTAAAGAGATTGCACCAGTTAGTGTGCAAATTGGAAGATACAGTTCTCCCAGAATATGCAGGCACCAAAGTAGTTCCAGAAACAAGAATTACTTAGAGATGTTGACATCCTTAGAAAGTATATGGACTGAAATCACAACTGAATTAGCATCAAGTGAAGCTGCCCCTTCCACTCAAGTTCGGAAATTCAGAAATCTTTCATCATATAAATAATTTCCTTTTTTGTAATATATGCTATTCAAACTTAAAAAAATACGTGAGGTGATGTAGTAATAAAGGCTATATCCCAGAAAGTAAAACACAGGCAAATTAAGAACAGCCAGGGGGTGGGGGAAGCATCCAGTTTACATGAATTCCAGAAAAAGAACACAGAAAAGTATCCAAGAAATATTTAAAAAAAAAAAAAAAAAGGTTTTAAAGACTGAGCAAGCTCTTAGTTTGGAAAGGATCCAGAAGGACCTAGAATGATGAACAAACCAGGCCCATCATTGGTAATTTTTAAATCTCAGAAATAATGAAGCAATCACAAAATCTTTGGGGGAGGGGGGTGGTAACGATTCAGAATGGCATTAGAATGCTAGGAAGTTTAGAACTAGTGGAGCTTAGAGAATGCTAGTGGAACTTTAGAAGGAGCAATGTCTTGAAAATTCTGAAAGGAAAATGACAGCTAAGACTCTAAATCCAGCAAAACCAATATTTACCTATGAGGGAGGATAAAATTAAGACATTTTGGATATTAAAGGTCTAAGTTAATCAACTTAGTTTGGGAAAATTGGCAATTACGCCTTTGATAGCATATCTGAAGCATGTGGACAAAGTCAGTCATACTATGACTCTATCCAATCACAGTAATATGAACAGCAACAATTTACCCAAAACGTGTGATGTAAGAATAATGGACGAGCTGTAGGAGGAGGGGTATTGTAAGAGTTAAAGCCTCAACTGCTGTAATAAGATTAAACTGATAAATTTAGAAAAAGCAAATATAAGCATTTTATTTAGAAATACACAGATAACCCAGCAGAAACGGCTTAGAGTTAAGGTGCCCGACTACAGGAAGCAAAACTGGAGCTGAGGAAGATAAGCAGGGAGCCGCTTTTCGGTGTAAGCCCTTTAAATGCTACTTGACTGCATTAAAATGTTCTTGCTTGTATTACTTCATGAAAATTTACTTTTAGAATTTAGAGATGGAGAAGGCCTATGTAAATATTAAAGCAAGGACAACATAAATGATTAACAGATCCAAACATCTAATAGCTAAGAGATTCTGTGTGTCAAAAATTACTTTAAAAGCAAACTGAGGGCCTCCCCTGGTGGCGCAGACAGTTGAGCGCCACGCTGTGAAGCTGCCAGCAGCCTCTGCAGTGCTGGTTCGATCCCTGCTGGCCGGTGAGGGTCCCACATGGCGGGGCAGACCTCTCCTGTCTCACCCGCTGCTCCCCTCAGCAGGGTATTTCATCAGTCTGCCTGTTCTGTTCCCTGCTCTGTCTCTGGTGAATCCTCTCACCCTCCCACGCATCTGGTCTGTACTCCAGTTCTTGTATAAAATAAATAAATAAATCTTTAAAAAAAAAAAGCAAACTGACACTACTCTTAATGCTTACTGGCCACAGAAAACTTAGAACTCAGGAATGCAAGGGGAAAGGCAGAAATATTCTGAATCAACTGTGAGAGTAAGGATTAAATCCAGACCTGGGGAAAGAGAACCCAATGGCATGCGCTTCATTAACCAGCGAGCAGAACAAGGTCCCTTGAAGAGCTGAGAGGCAGTGGGAACAGACTCTCAGTAAGGTTAGGTCTCTGCTGGACTCAGAAAGAACAGATCACAAAACCGTTCTTCTGAAAATGATCCCATGGATTTCTCAATTTCGAAGATTCACTTATATAAACAAAATCAAAATCAGAAAAATAAAACCCAAACTCTGGGCCTAAAATAGTCAACAAAGAACAATTTTCAGGACACCTCCCCTGAGAATTCCTATGTGAAAGGTTCACCACCACAGCCCTCAGGACACCCTGCCCCAAGTCACTATCAGGGGGTCACTGTGGGCCGCACAGAACCTAAGAGGCCAAGATGGAAACCAGGCTCTGGCCCCTACTTTCCATCCTAAAACACGTCCTTAAAAGAACACCAGAACTCCGGCTGTTGGTATCTGCCTATGGAAGTCAGCAAATTTCCCAGCTGGCAAGAGTCAAACTCCACAATCAGGTGGGTCAAGGAACGGGGGGGTGTGCAGCATTCTGGTCTGAGAAAGACCTGCTGTGAGCTCACGGGGTCTGGTCTCCAAGTTACCCTAACTAGTAATGGGTGGGGGTGGGAATGGGGGGATGTTGCCTGAGGACCCCCTAATACTTCCTAGAGTGGTTATAATTTCTTTAAAGCATACAGTGAGTCGTGAAGAGGAGAGTCCCCAACAAGTGACCACAGGAGGAATTGCACTGAAGCCAATTTCTAGGAGACAAGTCTAGAACAGTATGCACGTTGAGTTCATCTGGACCAAGGTCCGTGAAGTTTACAGGCAGCGGCAGCTGACAATGGAAGCACTCACATTTCATTTACCAAGAACGATATGGCTTATCCCTAAGGCAAGCCAACACTCACCTTTCTACCAGCTAACAGAAGACTTGTTATGCTCTCTGACAGATATCCCACCAACACAATCAGTCTCCTTTCGGGTTCTAAATAGTCTCTTGATATGGCTGCCATTTAACAAAATCTGTAAACTAGAGCAAAAGGTTCTGTGACTTCTGTAATTTCTATTGTAGAATGCCATGATGTAGTCTGTGCTGCTGAGACAACCACATCAAGAGCTAGTCTCTACTCTTGACAAATAAACGAACCTCACTGTATCTACAATTTTGTGTGACAAAATCTAAGATCTTTTTCATGAAGACACAAGTTGCAACTTTTCTAACTATTTTTCAACTCTGTGAGTTCCAACCCCTCCCTCTCCCTGGAGAAAACGCCCAATTCTTGTGAGGGAGGAAAAAAGGAATTCTAAAGCTGCAAATTTAAAAATGACACATTTCTACCTTTTGCTGAGAATCCCAATACAAATTATCTCCCAGTTATTAAGGCACTGCCCAATCTAAAACATTAACCCCAGGTCAGCTAAACCATGGTACACAAAAGAATCACACTTCAGGGCCACAGTGAGAATGAGCAAGGGAGACATAGAAGATATAAGGAAGAACAAGAAGCAACCTTAAAAGGGGAAAATAGGAGCAAGTATTAACCAAGTGAAGTGGAAAAACTTAAAAACCCCTGTCCTCAGGAAAATAAACCAGAACCACTGGGTTGTCAGAAAAGTCATGACACATTTTTGCAACAGATGGCACTAGTTCATTTTTGGAAGTACTAAAGTCATTCACATCTGTGTCATAGCTGGTCACTTGACAGTTGACAGTTCTAGCTTCATTCTAAAAATAAACTGAGCAATTTGGTTGAATTTTGGAGATTTTACAAGTTGAAGATGGAAGACCAAACTCTGCATTTTGGCCGTATTTTCCTGCTTTACTTCCATAAAGGAAAGAACGTGCATCAAGCTTGTGAAAGTTGTATAAAGTTTACAGTTACAATGCTCTCTAAGAATGCCAGTGCCAACAATTGCTCAAAAATTCCATGCTCGTGATTTTGATCTCAACGACACTCGGTCAGGGAGGCCCACCAAGGCTGATGACAAAATAAAGGCAGTGACTGAGTCAACCCCACGAAAGTTACACAAGAGCCTGCAGGAACACTGACCGTCCATCATTCAAGCATTCACAACCACCTGAAAAGGCTGGGATACGTAAGCAAGCTCGATAATTGGGTTCCTCATGCACTCACAGAGGTTCATTTGATGCATATAAACATCTGCAATATGCTCATTAAATGTGAGGAAAATGATCCTTTCTTGCAGCGACTGATAACTGGGGATGAGAAGTGAATTGTTCATAATAATGTGGTGTGCAGATGGTCTTGGTTCCAACCTGATGGTTCACCTCAAACAACATGGAAAGCAGACACTCATCAGAGGAAGGTAATGCTCTCAGTGCGGTGAGATTTTAAAGGTGCTGTGTTTTTCGAGGTCCTACCAAGGAACCAAACAATTTGAATGTGTACTGTCACCAACTGAACAGTTTGAACGAATCCATCATCCAGAAAGGTCCAGGGCTTGTTAATTATAAAGGCGTTGCGTTCCATCACGATAAGGCAAGACCACACACAAGTTTGATCACCCGGTCAAAAATTATTGGAGCGTGGATAGGATGTGTTGCTACATCCACCATATTCGCCTGACCTTGTGCCATCAGACTTCCACTTATTTCACTCTCTTCAAAATGCCCTGCATGGGGCCTCCCCAGTGGCGCAGCGGTTGAGCGCTGGGTTGCGAAGCTGCCCGCGGCCTCTGCAGCACTGGTTTGATCCCCAGCCGCCGGGTGAGGGTCCCACATGGTGCGCAGACCTCTCCTGCCGCCCGCTGCTCCCCTCAGCAGTGTACTTCGTCACTCTGCCTGTTCTACTCTCCGCTCTGACTCTGGTGAATTCTCTCACCCTCCCGTGTCTCTGACTGTACCCAGTGCTTGTATAAATAAGTAAATAAATCTTAAAAAAAAAAAAAATCACTATTTAAAAAAAAAAAAAAAAATGCCCTGCATAGCATTACATTCAATTCAGTTGAGGCTGTAAATCAGCACCCTGTTCAGTTTTTCGCCAGTGAAAACAGTCCTTCTATGAACGAGGAACAATGAAGCTCACTGAAAGATGGCAAAAGGTTATCGAACAAAATGGGCAACATATCATTGATTGATCTTTGTTCTTTATATAAATAAATGACCTTTGAAAAACATGGGGGGAAAGGGTCCTGACTTTTCCAACAACCCAATACATATACTACTAGTGAAGCAAGGTCAATTTGACCATGCCTGATTTGAAATTTGAAGCTAATTTAGGGGGATTTAAAAGGCTTACCGTAGTAGGACCTGTATTTGGAGGTGATGATTCTTCTGTGCATACAGACAAGACAGAGAGGGAAGGCATCTGGGAGATCAGATCAGAAGGGGGCAGGGTTGGCACCTCTGTGCCACTGTCCAAGTTCAAAGCTGAAAGTCCAAGAGTATGATGCCCATTGAGCTCACTGGCACTGCTTTGGGTGGAAGGCTTTAGGGAATTCTGGAACGTGCCATTGCGGAGGCAGGATGTGCTATGGAAAGTGCTCGCCAGCTTGGCTGTCTTCTCACTGCTGTCATCAGAGTCAAGTTTGGGGAAGGACAGGGATTTGATATTGCTTACTGCAGGGATGGGGGGGAGGGACACTTTGGAAGACAGCGACATCTTTTCACAGTTACCCAACTGTGGTAAAGTTATAAAACCATTGGGTTTGTGAAGAGGCTTGAAATCTAGGGTTGCTCGCTCCAGGGATGCCAAGACCTCCTCATCCTGTAACACAGACCCAGAGCCACCTCTGGGCAAGTTATTGTCCAGTAACTGAGCCATAATGGGTCCAGTGGTTCCTACAAGAATATTTCTCAGTTCCTCCTTCTCATCAATAGTTTTTAATTCCAGATTATCAAATGGGTCTTCTTCACACTCAAAGTCAGCAGGATTAAAATCTGCCTTTGTGTGGGGTGGGCTGAGAACTTTCTGTTTGGTGGCACTGCTGCTGACCCGAGTTGGGGTGAGGATGCTGTTGTGCTGTAAGCTGGCAAGGATGGGGTTAATAGGAGGTGGCATTGTGGCGGTACTGTGAGTCTTGGAGAAGCTCATTTTGCTGTCACCCTCCGGGCCACTCTTAGAATTCACTTTAGCTTCTGCTTCCTCAGCCCTGCGTTCTGCTTCCCGCTGGGCTTCTTGAATTTTCTTAATATCTTCAGCCCACTCAATGGTTTTCTTTTCCAAGGAGAAATCATACTGCAAAGATATAGCAGAAAAGGGAGGTATGAGTCCAAGTGGCTGCCTTTCCCCACCTACCTCACTCGATGCTGGCACAAGAAAACTGGGCAAGGCAGCATTAAAGTGACCACATTTGATTTAGCTTTAATCTTCCTCTAAATACTCCCCCAAAATATCACAAGCCTCTTTGGGACAGCAACAAGGCTTTATAAAGACCCTCTTAGGGTCTCCATCATCTAGCACAAAGCTCTAAACAGACAACAGTTCCTAACATTTAAGGAGTACTAGTAAGGTGCCTTTTGTGAGTCTAAGGCACTTTTTATGTATTAAGTCTCTAGATTTTCAACAACCCTTTAAAGTAGGTGCTTTTGTTATCCTCACTTTACAAGGTCATAAAGCTGGTAAGTGATAGAACCTGAATTTGAACCCAGGTAGCACGACTATGGGATTCATTGCATAGTTCTTTTACAATACCTAAAAAAATATATCAATTTACAAAAATTTCACTTACACATTTGAAAAGATACCCCCTATTACATAAAATTCACCTAAGACAGGAGATTTTAGCATTCACCCTAAAGCACCAAAGCTACACAACATCTGTATGTACTGTGCAAGGCTGGAGACACAGGTGGAGTTTAAAAAGGGTGGAAACGAGATGACAGAGGCTTACCAAATGTTTAGAGTAGGAGAAACACAATCAAGTGCCTCTGGTCATCCCCAAAGCTTATCAGCGTCAAACAACACAAGAGAAGCCTAAAAATGCACACGATGAAGTTCATTTATATATCAAGCTAGCATCTGGGTTCCAGAAAAAGCTCTGGGGTTCACGGTACTCCTTTCTATCATTAATGGGTTCAGTGAGAAACAGCACTGGGCTACTAACTGTGGAGGAAATCCCATTTTGCATTTGGTTTCCTCGCAAAAAAACAGGCTGTAATCAACTTCCCACTGCTTATAAACACAGGTTTCTGAAGTTTTACTCTCAAGGACAATTGGAAGTTAGAAAAATAAATAAGACCTTTATTAAGCTTTGGGTTTTTAATTACCAAAGCAAAGCAGAATACTGGAACATTTAAAAAAATTTAAAAAAAAAAAAGGCAGAAACATTAGTCAAAAAATTGTGTGCTAAATGTACAGTAATAAATAACAGCATCTAACATTTATGGAGCACCAATAACCAAAGTAAGCATTATATATGCATTATTTTATTTCATCCTTATAACAACTATAGGGCCAGGACAGGCAACAGTGCAGATTTTCTGATCCAGCAGACCGGGTAAAGGAGGAGTCAGAGTCCTCAGTGGCCTTTTGCAGGCTTTTATTGGGGTTTACCAGGCATATGGCAAGCAGGGATGCTGGGGGACCTGGAGGCTGGCAGGCCTCCCAGCCCCCAGCAAGTCCTCACTCTATCTGGGCTCTCTGGCGTTCTCTCTGCTTCTCTGCTCTTTGCTTCTCTCTCGGCTTCTGCTGCTGCTGGCGTCCCCGTGACGCCGCCCTTAAAAAGCCCAGTCTCAGCCCAGGTGAATCCCATCTACCTATGCCCACACCCTATTCCAGGTGCCCGCCATCAGGCATGCATTCAGGACCACAAGGATCCATCATCTATCCTGATGGCGGGAGGGCAGAAAAGCCTGACATTTTTCCTTACCCTACAACAACATTTAAAAGTTACCCCCATTTACAGATGAAGAGGAAATGAAGGCTTGGAGAGATTAAGAAATCTGTGTAAGATCACGTAGCTATTACATGTCAATTCCAGTCTATGAATGAGTGACACCAATTTCTCCTCTAGAAACACCCTCCAATACCATGGCCACCACCACCATAATCAACGTTTTTTGGGCCCTGAGTGCAAGTGTTATATATGGCTGGCTCGCTTTGATGAGTTTTTAGCAGAAAAGTTGAGCTTTACCACCATGCATAGACAAATGTGACGAAATTAAATGAAGCTTCAGGCTATCTGTCTAGGACTCTAGGTCTGAGTCATATCTGGATAGGGAGGGAACCAGCACCAACACCACAGGCCCAATCCCCTATGGAGACCCCAGGCAAAGCTTAAGAAAGCGATGTGCAATTAGAGAACAAAATGACTTCAACTGTCCCACAAAGAAATGGCACTCAGAGCCTTGATCGCCTCTTGTTATGAGTGAGTGCTGTGAATATAGTGCTTCACACTGATCAAATAAACAGAAAATTCCCAGCAAAGCCTAAAACAGCATCAATTTGCGATTCTAAACAAGTTTTCTGAATGAAACAATGAATCAGTGAATGCTGTGAAAGAAAGATGCAGGTGTTTTTAATCATACTGCTAACAGGATCCTGCACATAAAGAAACATTTGTTGTCACCAATTAAGAACAGTCACCAGGCAAACAGAACAAGATCAAACTTCATAAGGGAAATCTGTATCTCTTCTGGGCCATTAATGTCTCTACAAAAGAATCAATAATAAAAAATATATTGTAGTCAACGTCATTAGGAATCAGGAAATTGCACAACAAAACCACAAAAAAAACCACTGCATACCCACACAGATGACCCTTGAACACCACAGGTCTGAACTGTTTGAAAGCACTTACAGGCAATTTTTTTTTTTCCTATCCACTAGTTAGCATTCAGGGGTTCAACCAAGTTCAGAAGTTGGTTGGTTGAATTCAAGGATGTGGACCTGCATATAAGAAGGGCTAACTAATAATGGGATTTTCAACACAGCAGGGGTCATCCCTACATTGTTCAAGGGTTGACTAAATCATCAAAAAGATAGTTAGCAAAAGTTGGCAAGGATGTGGAACCTTCATGCAGCACTGATTGGGCTGTAAGATGGCCCAGTCATACTGGAAAACAGTCTAGCAATTCCTCAAAGGATTAAATATAGTTACCATATGACAGAGCAATTCTACTCCTTATTTTATATACAAGAAAACTGATATCATATTCCACATAAAAACCTGTATACAAATGTTCACAGTAGCATTATTCATAATAGTCAGTACTTACTGGAACCCACCCCCATTTGGAAACTACCAAAATGTCCACCAACTGATGAATAAACAAATTGTGGTATATCAATACAATGGGATATTATTCCATCATAAAAATGAAGTACTAATCATCCACACAACGTGGATAAACCTTGAAAACATTACGCTAAGTGAAATAATGCAGTCATAAAAGACTATATATTAAATTATTCCATTTATATGGTGTGTCTAGAATAGATAAATCCATAGAAGCAGAAAACAGATTTAGTGGATGCCAGAGGCCAGGGAGAGGGGAAATAAGGAGCAGCTGCTAATGGACACTGGGTTTCTTTTGGAGGTGATGAAGATGCTATGAAATTAGATAGATATGATGGTTATAGACAATTCTGTGAATATACCCACTAAATATACAACCTAAAAGAGTGATTTTATATGAATCATATCTCAATAAAGTGGTTATTAGAAAAATGTTCCATATGGACAACAGTGAGGTCTGAGCCTTTCAAGTAATGTGAAATAGGGATTTATCATCTCATTTTATACTCTAAGTGGGTCCCTGAGATACTCAGCCTAAGGGAATTCCTATTATCAGCTTTAATAATAAATGAAAATGAATAGTGTTTACTGTACACAACTGTACCCCGCCCCCCACTGAGAACTGAGGTTCTCCCACTAAGATTACTCATTGTATACAGACTGGAAGATAAAACAAAGACTATTTTTTAGAGTAGCATGGTAATCCTTAGTGAATCTCCCAGAAACAAAACTTCTCTGCCAGAAAGTTCTATTTAAACACCTTAAGTCACAGGAAGAAGTGCCTGAGTAGTGTGCTTTTCTGATTTTTTTATGTAACTCCTCTAAGCCATAAGCTCCTTAGAAACAGCATTTAAGGCATTATCCTTAGCTCTAGCGGAGCACTGCTCAAAAGCAGGCATTCAATAAATGTGTACTGAAGAAAGGAAGTCACATAACATAGGGCGACTTGCTGCCTTCAAGATGTAATTCTTGAGAGACAGTCCCGGGCCTTGCAGATTTGTTCTGTCTTCTTCCTGGTCCAAAGCCTCTCCCAAAACCATGCTCCTCAGTCAGGCCAAGAATCATCCTTGCTTGACCCCTCTTTGTACTTATTGGAGCCAGAGGTACTGGAGCAGTGCTCTATGTCACGCGCCTAGCACTGTTCAATCCAGGTGTCAATTGGGACAGAAAGAATGACCTAGAATCCCAAAACAAACTGGGACCCAATGATCAATACAAGCTCTACTCAGTGAATGTAGATTGCAGCAAACTGAAGAAAGAAGATTCAGACTGCTAAATGAAATATTTCACCATAGAGATACTTAAAATGGTCTTCCAGAAGTCATGCACAATTTTCAATTTAACCAGAAAATATTCCCCTCTTAAATGCATGTAGTCATGTTGGTGTATTATGTTAGGGTTTATACTGATTAATAAATACTGAAATTGGGGGGTTAGGGGGAGAAGTAATTCTATACATTTATAGAGAACTGAGCTTTAAAGATGAGTGGGTTGAGAAAGAAGCTATTGAGGAGATGGCATTCAAGTAGTCCAGAAGAATAAAGGGATTTTTTAATAGGCAGTTTTTAGCACTATAAGAGAAGAATATTCCAAGTGGAGATAATAGAAAAAGCATGGTATAGACAGGTAACATATACATTATGTTCAACAAACTGCTAGTAACCTAGTTTGGTGGGAATATAGAGATGATGATGAGCTTAGTGCTTTGCCATGACCTTCTGTCTAGTCTTGATTCAACAGTTTTGGTGAATCACTAAGTATTGTTACCATGGATGTGGCAATTAAAACTTTAAGATTATTCTAGAAACTATGGAAAATCGAAAGAAAATGCTGTAAGCAAAGGGGCTACTGCAATAGCTCAGGTAAAAAAAATAAGGTAAGGATAAATTGGATGGCAAAGGTGAGACATGGCAGAAAGAAAATTATTACCTAACTTGAGTGACTGAGAAAATGAGGAAAGAGAGAAAGAAGTGAATAAGCAAACCAGATGGCAATGGGGATTTGTTTTGGATAAAGCACAGAATCCCAGGAATATATAATCTAACAGATTATATAAAATCAGTACTAGATAGAAAACACATATAAATATGGGGGGGCAGAGACACGGGAACATAAAGACACAGAGTGAGCCAAGCAGTATCTAGAGATAAGAAATACTGACAGAAAATATTTTAAAAAGAAATACTGACAGATATCAAAATTTTTTTCTATTTAACTATACATCAAATTCTTACTCTTTAAATTTTTAAATACACTAAACTTTAACTAAAAATCACCACTTACCTGTACTTCTCTGACAACCTGCAAACAATCAGGCAAGGAGAAGCCAATAGGTAGACCAACTTTAGCTGGTGTTTTGAATTTGTCTCCTATCTTAAATGGGACATCATCAAGGTAACTGAAAGTCCCTACAATCAAAAATAAAGTAGAAAATATCAGCAAAGAACTTTATTACTTTGTTTTGCTTTAATCTTATGCCCAGTAGATACACATTAATTTATGCTATCCTAAAACAGAGTTCCTTTCCTGACTGCTTACCTTCTCCTGATCCTACATCTCTAGGAGGAAATTCTACTTGATCTTATTAGGGTTTAATTTCAATTAAATTTTAAACATAAAATCAAAATACCTAAGTACTCACAGACCTAAAAGGCCTCCCCAACACCTTTTTGCCCTCAACTCCTATCACTTTCTGACTAAACTCACTAAATCAGAGATTCTGTTTCTCAACCAAGATTGTGGTCAAGCCCACCTCAAAAATTCTATGCCTGGGGCCACTATGGTGGCGCAAGGAGTTAAGATGCAACCTATGAAGCTATCCGCAGCCACTGCAGCGCAAGTTCAATCCCCAGGGAGCTACCCACATGGTGCAGCAGACCTTTCTTGACTTGCCCGCTACTCCCCTCAGCAGAGTATTTCAGTCACTCTGCCTGTTCTGCTCCCCACTCTGCCTCTGGTGAATCCTCTCACCCCGCTGCACCTATGGCCTGTACCCCAGTTCTTGTATGCATAAATAAATAAATCTTTAAAAAAAATTCTATATCTGGCTGCTCCCTTTATCAAGAACATTTTTCCTTCAAATAATCCCATCACATTTATTTTTTAATTTTTATTTATGCATACAAGAGCTGGGGTACAGGCCAAAGGTGTGGGGGGGTTGAGAGGATTCACCAGAGACAGAGTGGGGAAGAGAACAGGCAGACTGACGGAAGTACACTGCTGAGGGGAGCAGTGGGCGAGTCAGGAGAGGTCTGCTGCACCTTGTGTGTCACCTCCCTGGCTGGCTGGGGATCGAACTTTTGCTGCAGTGGCTGCAGACAGCTTCACAGGTTGCGTCTTAACCCCTTGCACCACCAGGGTGGTACCCCCATCATATTTCTTTACAACTTCATCAAGTCTGTGCTGAAGTCACTTTCTCAATGAAGCTTACACCTTGACCAATCTATTTAAAATTACTACCCCCTTCAAAACAGTTAATTCATGTTACCATCTGTTTTCCCCCATAGCACTGATTACCTTCTAACATATTCTATAATTCACCTATTAATTACATTTACTGACTGTCTTGCCCAACAGACTGTAAGTTCCTTGTGGGCAAATATTTATTTTATGCTCTGATGTAGTCTCAAAACCTACAGCATTGCCTGGCACATGATCAGAGCTTAATAAATACTGCTTAAGTGATGTCAGAATCTCCATAAAAGAACCCCTTGATTAGGATTTCTCTACTTTAGAATCAAACATTTTTTAATTAGTACAACTAATACTCTAGATTTTTTTAGACTACATTCTGGAGCCAACACTCAAGTAGTACTGTATTCACAAAAAAAAAAAAACGCAAGCCAGGCGAGACCTTGGCGATAGGATTATCAGGAGACAAGTTACACACAACTGAACTACTTAAGGGTTCTCTGCCTATCATAACTGAACAATGAAGAAATCATCATAATCAGTTTATAGAGGCAAACAAAATGAGATGCCTACTGGTTGTAACTTTCACTGGCCATGACTCCAAACTGGACCATGGTTTCTTTTTTTTGGATCAGGTTTATTTCATGGTCAATGAAACAAAGTTAATAAAAGTGAATTTTGCTTTTTGAATATTAGCAGCTACTAAAATAGGCTTACTCTGATCCTCAGACTACTGTTAATGTTTTTGAGTGCTCATGGGCAGAGTAAGGCAATTACACTATTTCCATGAAGAGAACTCTCCCTTTCTGCAGATTTCAAGACTTATCAAAATCTAGATTTATTTGTGATTTTGCCATCATTCCCATTTCCTGAGGCAAGCACTGTTCTCCACACTCGAAAATCTCCATGAGGACTCCTCTGCTCCCGCTCTTGAAATGAGGCTTCTCTTTTCCCTATTAACTTCTGGACAGAATTAAAACATTTTAAGTACCTTTCAATTAGCAAATTAAATCTACAACTGAGTTCAATTTAATAATTTTCCTGATAACCATAATTATTAACATTAACATAATTATTTCCACATTAGCCATACCTTTAATATGCACTATTTTCTCAGCTGGCAATGCCTGATTTGCCTGATAGACTATTTCTAATCCTTCAAGAATGAGTTTAAGAATGACTCCCTTGTCATACCACTGCCATGGGACTTACCACTTGTACTGTCAATAGTTTGTTTCTTCCTACTTCCATCCCCTAGAGAGTCTGAGCAAGAATTGCCTTAATAAGGAATAACTGTTTCTTATCTACCTCCCCCAAATTCAGCATAATGTCTGGCAGATGAGATTTGTTCAAAAGTGAAGAATAATGAACACATGGTCTTATACTTCTTTTAACTCTCACTCCCCCACACTAATTCACATCAATAATTACAACTGATAAAATACAAAGCTAATCATGAAAATGATTTAACAGAGCACTCCTGCAAGATGTAAACACATTTCTAATATTCTAGACAGAATCACAAAAATGTACCAGATACCAAAAAAAAAAAAAAGTATCAGGTAACCAACACAGATTGCCAACAAAACTGCTGGTTACAACATAAAAACCTTCGGGCACTTACAAAATACTTCATAAAAATTAAAAGCAAGGTTATTTTAAATTAAAAAATAAAATGTATCTGTCTTCCACAAAAACAGATTCTCAAATGTTAATGAAAGATTCTAACATTAGCTGGTACCATGACAAATTAAAAGCAAAGCTAAAATTAGCATTTTCTAAGAAGCATTGAAGGATTTGCAGTCACAACCACAAAATTCTTGTTTACAAAAATTTTAGGTTTTCATTCAAAATAGGACCATTAATTATAATACACACTTATTTAAAAAATACTTTCTACTTATAAGCATATAATACCAAATGTAAGAAAACCTACTCACTTTAAAACTATTTTAGAATACAGGCCTCCCTCCCTGGTGGTGCAACCAGTTAGGACGCAACCTATGAAGCTGTTTGCAGCCTCTGTGACATAAGTTCGATCCCCGGCCAGGGATCTGCCCACATGGAGCAGCAGACCTCTCCTGACTCGCCCGCTGCTCCCCTCAGCAGTGTACTTCGGTCAGTCTGCCTGTTCTGCTCCCCACTCCATCTCTGGTGAATCTTCTTACCCCCCACACCTCTGGCCTGTGCCCCAGCTCTTGCGTACATAAATAAATAAATCTTTAAAAAAAAAAAACTATTTTAGAATACTAAAATTCTCTCAAATAACTATTTCCACCATTAACTTGTAGCTAGGAAATGGAGAGGGGGGAAGTATCTACAAAAAAGGTACTGTTCTTCAGATATATGAGCTGAATAAGAATACCAAGAAAGGTATTGTGGTTTCCTGCCAACCATTCAGTCAGGCAACTATGACAATGTTGTGAATACTAAAGACTTCTGTTCTAACTATGGAACTGGGACCTGGCTTAGAGACAACAGTATCAGGTAGATCATCTCTAAACAACTGTTTTGTCCCCTTCATTAGCACCGACTACACATATCTGCTTTAAAAAGCCATTTCATTTTACTTAAATGCCAAGGTGATTTAGCACATCCCCTAACCTTCTTAGTTCTTTAAACTATGTTTCCCTTCTTAGTTCGGGAAATAAGCAGCTGAATAATTACTGGGAGGAGGTACTAGGAATAAAGGACTAAAAAGTACAGAGATGGCAACAGCAAAAAAACTTATAAAATAAAGGACAGAGACTATCATTATAAGGAGAGTTAATGACGCTGCCAGGAGTCTATTTTGCAAATATAATTATGCCTTCAAAAATACTCATTTTTATCTAATAGTGAAATATTTGAAGACATTGACCTCTCGGTTCTCTACACATTTTATTTTTTAAATAGAGTCAATGAGAACAAAGAGAATTAAGCAGTGTAGCTAACAACTGTTTGGTTCAATTCAAATACTTTTTAATTTCAGTCTTAATTACTGAAAATATTTCACCTTCCTAAATTCAATTTAAAAAAAAAAGAAAGTAAGTGCATCTCTGACAACTGTGGTTGTTCCTTGAAGTCAGACTGTGCACATCCCTTTATGGTATGCCATGGTGGAAGAGGCTGGGATGAACGTGTAATGACTCAATAAATTATGGGAAGGCTTCATTCTGTTTTTTCCTTCTAAACTGCTGATATGCTTATGATTTTATGCCTGTTTTTCTGAAAAAAAGGGACAATTCCCAAAGAAGAGAAAGATTCCTACCAAAGGATAGCAATTGCATTGTGCTTACTGCTTATTCAGGTTTGTTTTAATTAATTCAAATTAAGGCTGCAAACTGAAATTTCTGAAGAAGAATAGCACAGATAAAACTTTTAAGTGAAAAACTCTAATTCTGGGCCTCCCTGGAGGGGCAGGGGTTAAGACGCAACCTATGAGGCAATCCGCAGCCACTGCAGCACAAGTTCTATCCCCGGCCAGAAAGCTACTCCCATGGTGCAGCAGACCTCTCCTGACTCACTTGCTGCTCCCCTCAGCAGTGTATATCAGTCGATCCACCTGTTCCGTTCCCCACTCTGTCTCTAGTGAATCTTCTAGTGAATCTTCTCATCCCCCAACACCTGTGCCCTGTACCCCAGTTCTTATATGCATAAATAAATCTTTAAAAAATAAAATAAAATCCTTAGGTCAAGTAACACTTGCAACATTAAGTAAACAGACATACACTAATATATAGATATATGGATATCTCATAAAAGAAATGTGAAGAAATCACAACAAAACAAGACTGACTACAAAAATCAGTTTTTTAGTACCCAACATCTGGCAAAAATAAGGCACACAAGCAAGATGTAATCCATCATCAGAGAGGAACCAGTACTCAAACTCAAACCAAAGGATAGCCAACATACCAGAATTTTCAGAAAACTTTAAAATAACTATAATAAGTGTATATTAAAGGATCTACTGAAAGGTAAGGATGTGTGAACAGATGGGAATTTCAACAGAGATGGAAAAAAAGAAAAATGGAACTACTAGAAATGAAAAATGCAGTATCAGAAAAAAAAAATTTTGATACTTCCCAAACCAAACTATGCTAATCAGAAGACAAGACCAGATCAGAGTCAGACAACTTGAAGTTAGGTCAAAAGAAACTAACCAAATTGAAACACAAAGAGAAAAAAGTGGAAAACAAATAATATAGCATCTTAAGAGATCTCTGGAATATCAGTCTAACACATATGAATTAAGAACAGGATAACAGAGTGGGGCAGAATAAGACAAGAGAGAAGTGATAACGGCTGGGAATTTTCCGTAAGTGGTAAACATCAACCCACAGAAATATCAGTAACTCCAAAGTGGATACCAAAAAAAAAAAAAAAAAAAAAAAAAAAAAAAAAAAAAAGATCATGCCAAAGCATATCATAGTCAAAATACTGAAAACAAAAGATGAAGAGAAAATTGTGAAAAGTGAGGAGGGATGAAATAGGTGGCATATTACATACAGGAAAATGCTGATAAAATGATGGTCAACTTCTCTACATTACACTATAAAGCATTAACAGATCAACTATTAAAACATCTAAAATGAAACACCTTTTTCTATTACTTGGCAGAAAAAGTATTTCAGTTTCTTAGTAGAAATTAAACCAAAGGCAAAATGAACCTCTTTAAAGGTTAAATGAATGCTCACAAGTGGAGTAGCTTGGCTTGTCAAAGAAGGGTGTTTAGTTTTACTAAATCCTATTACTAAAAAAAAGTTTTAAGTAGAAGAAAAAATTTTAAGACAAATACATTTTAAATAAAATTATAAGGTAAACAAAATTAAAAATAAAATTTTAAATATTTAAAGAAAAAAAACATTAAAATGTTCTATTAGGCCTCCCTGGTGGCCTAGGGGTTGTTTCAGCTCTACCACCATTAAGGCCGACATTGGACCCCCAGCCAGGGAGCTAACCCACCTATGGCACAACAGACCTCTCCTGTCTTACCCACTGCTCCCCTCAGCAATGTATTTCAGTAAATCTGCCTGTTCTGCTCCCCACTCTATCTCTGGTGAATCTGCTCACCCCTCACACCTCTGGCCTACACCCCAGTTCTTCTACACATAAATACATCTTTTAAAAAAAAAAGTTCTATTATACTTATTTTTTTCCTAGAGTTTCAAAGCATTTTTTCAGTTATTATAAAGAGTAATGAGTTTACTTGTTGAAACATTTTTTTAAGTCCTTTAAAGGCCTCCCTGGTGGCCTAGGGGTTACATCTCAGCACTATCACTGAGACCACCATCCACGGCAGCCTGAGTTGGCAGCCTGAATTCTATCCCCATCAGGGAGCTATCCCACATGCGGCACAGCAGACCTCTCCTATCTCGCCCGCTGCTCCCCTCAGCAGTGTATTTCAGTAGATCTGCCTGTTCTGCTTCCTACTCTGTCTCTGGTGAATCCTCTTATCCCCCACACCTCTGGCCTATACTCCAGTTCTTCTATGCAAAAATAAATAAAATCTTTAAAAAAAAAAATCATTTCTGAAAAATAAACTTTTTCTTAGATGAAACAAATGGAAAATGAGTTAACTGAAAAGGACTGACCTTTTTAAAGGGACAAACTCCAAGAAAAGCCTGATTTAAACTGAGCCAAGAGTTGGCAGTATACATAGGACATTATTTTTAAACATCTCTGAAAAGTAACTTTATATCTCTTATTCTGTTAGAGATAGGTGGTCATTAATGACAGTAGTATCAATTCAACTTCAGTTGAAAAGAACGAACATGAAGGTAAATTAAATACTAATCGTGAGAGAGCACAGTATAAGACCTAGTCAGCCCAAATAATTAAATAGAAAAAGAGGCATTTTAATATCCAGTCATGAGATAAGTGTTACTTCCCTGTTCACACCCCAAATGCCCTAAAAGAATTACACACATCCCCTAATCCCAACAAACCACCTAACTTAGGGGGAAGGAATTCACAGAGTCATAAACTAGGCTGTGTCATCATATACTTCCTTGTTACCAACAGATACAAAAACTAGGGCCTCCCTGGTGGCGCAAGGGGTTAAGACACAACCTATGAAGCTAACCACAGCCACCGCAAGCACAAGTTTGATCCCTGGCCAGGGAGCAACCCACATGGCACAGCAGACCTCTCCTGACTCGCCCACTGCTCCCCTCAGCGGTATATTTCAGTCACTCTGCTTGTTCTGTTCCCCACTCTCTCTGGTGAATCCTCTCACCCCACACCCCGCCCCCCACCCCGCACCTCTGGCCTGTACCCCAGCTCTTGTATGCATAAAAATAAAATAAATCTTTAAAAAAAAAAAAAAAACAAAACTAGCTAGCATCTATTATACTTATTTTTTCCTAAATTCCTAAGTATAATAGATGCTAGCCATATAAAATGACCATAGACTAGTAAGCATCAGCATAACCAGGGTGACCATTTTTGGCCTGTGCCTCTATACAAGTAGGCCAAGAAAGCAAGTCCATAAACAGATGAATAAAAATGGAGCACCCCCATAGAAAGCAGTAAGGAAAGACTATATAGCCTGAGAAGTGGAGGAAATTGTGGCCTTAGTTTCCTGGCTTTCTAGTTTCAGCCTTGAAACACCAGGGATTCACATGCATGCCTACAAGATTGCCTATTAAATATTCTCCACTTACCCCTTTCTTGTCTATTCCTTTAATTCTATAACACCAAAATATCAGATCCTGTAATCTAAAACCCCAACAAAAGCCACTGTAATTCAAGTAGAAACTTAGCAAATAGAGTTCTTTTAAAGTGAAAGAAGGCAAAAAGAAAAAATGTTTCTCTCAAACTTTACTCAGAGAAATATCTCACTTAATAAAAGTTTGCTTAGGAAGTAAAGAAATGGAAGAATTTCTAAAAATCAAATCTTAATTGTTTAGATAACATCAGTATTGTAATCTCTCTGGACTATTTAACCAGATCACATAATAACCTGGAGTCCAACTTATTTTCACTCCAATCAAAAAGGAGTTCCCAATGATTTAAGATAGAAAGTTTATCATTAAAAATAAGATTATATACTTAAATTTTTCATTTTTGCTATTTTCTCTCCTTTAGGCTTTTCCTCTATCCTTGTATCTGTTCTCCCTTGTCCCTTGAAAAAGTGATACAGAGGCAACTTGAGATCTGCCTCTCTACTATCATTTTAATACTCTGAAACTATAATAATCATTAAACCTCAGTTGGAGATAGCTTACCCAGAAGATCTGATGCCTGATGTGTTATATAGATTGCAAATGCCAGAGATGATAGATTTAACTCAAAAGGGATTTAACAAAACATAAGCAGTTGCATACATGGATTTTTTTTTTTCCTTTTTGGACAATGGCAACTTAAAAGTTTAAAGCTACTGTATAAAGCACAAACAAGTTAAACCCACCCTGACTCAGCTGAGTGACACTATCAAGCAACCACTCAGATCAGAATATAGCAACACACTGTCATGCGGTCTAAATAAGCATTCTAACAATGACATGATTTTTTAAATGGAAAATCATTTTAAAAACAATGTCATCTGGATATTCCTCATGTTTTAATTCTTATCTTCAGTAAGATAAGAGGGTCTAATGTTTTCACATTTTAGGTACCTCCATTCCTCCCCAAATAGAGATAATGAATGTTAAAGGTTTAGAATTTTTCACACCAGACCTATGACCGGGCATCAAGAAAGGAAATAGCAACTACTTCAAAATACTGCTGAACAACAACAAAATGAGGCAGAGGCCCTTACCCACTAGTTTCAAATATAGTCACAACAAAGATTCTAAAGTTTAATCCATGTAAAGAAATCCCTCAATATTAATGTTATTTACAGTCCTTTGGAGTGTATATGATGCATTACTGAACAACTTTTTCTTCTCAAACTGTTCATTTAAATAAACAAAAAGGAGCACTTACTTCATGCTAAGTGATTTCAAATTCAACAATCAAACCATGATATCTAATGCTCTACTTACCATGAAAATCTGCACCCAACTTCTTAGAAGCCATTTAGAACCTGAAAAAGAAACATTTCTTAGAAACAGAAACAAATAACTGAGAGGACATAAGCAAATATAAGTTATAAGAAAACAAACTACAAAAAAGAAACCGAAAGGCCAAAGGTTTTGTTTTTTATTTATGCATACAAGAGCTGGGGTGTAGGCCAGAAGTGCGGCGGGTGAGAGGATTCACCAAAGACTGAGTAGGGAGCAGAACAGGCAGAGTGACTGAAATACACTGCTGAGGGGAGCAGCGGACGAAACAGGAGAGGTCTGCTATGCCATGCGGGTCAGCTCCCTGGGCAGGATCAAAGTGGATGCCAATAAGCTTCATAGTGCTGAGACTAAACCCCTTGTGACACCAGGGAGGGCCAAAACAAACTACTTTTAACAGACCATTCCTGACCCCAACTTAACCGCAGCTGTTTTCATAGGCATTCCCCTAGTTCATTTTACATCCCAACTTATCTGTCCCACATTTGATAGAATGTCAGACCATAACATCAGCAAGAGGCACATATTTGTCCCAATGTCCAATGAGCCCAGAAGTGTACGTCTCCCCACATTGAGGCCTACCAGCCAACAAGTATCATTAATAAAGTGACAAAGGTAAACAATTATCATTCTATTTCCATTACTCACAAAAAGGCACTGGCTAGTTAACTGCTGTGAACTTAACCACAACAATGAGCAGAAGACAAAGATTATTCCCAAGAATTAAATGGAGTAAGAAATCATATGTAAAAAACGTAAGCATTCTTAGATTTCAAAAGAAACAAGTTATATTTTAAAATCTGTGACAAGAAAAAAAAAAAAAGAAGGAACTATATAATATTTTATATATATAACAAAAATTTACAAGGTTTATGAGAATGAAATTTTCTAGTTGATATTCTACTTAATGGAAAGTTACAATTATAAAGTATATGGATCATCAATTTTCAAAGATTCAACTAACCATACGAAAATGATTTAACCTTTTTATATGTGCAGAAGATAAGCTCACAGGCTTCAGGGTCATCATAATGGGCATAAACCACAATAAAGTGAGATTTCTAAAACTCAGAAGCAAGATTTTTGGCAGCCACCCCATAAAGGCACATAACAGAAATGTGTTTTTCTAAATCCCTGCTGGGAAAGAAGCAGAGTTTAAAAGCATCCAGTAACAAGAGCTGTGACTATGTTCACTGTTGCAAAAAAAAAAATGGCCATTTTCATCTCTGTATTCCTAGTATTTATTGATATTGTAAGATAGCTATTTGAAGAAGCAGCTATTTTTTAAGAGGTAAATGACTTAGGAATATCTGCTTGAGCTTCCAGTTTAATAGATAATTTTGCAAACAAGCCAAAATCAGGAATATTTTTTAAAGAAGTTTCAACCAAATGGTAATGACTTTTTAATGGCTTTTTTAAAAAGATTTATTTATTTATTTATATTTTATTTATACAAGCACTGGGTACAGTCAGAAGCGCAGGAGGGTGAGAGAATTCACCAGAGCCAGAGCGGGGAGCAGAGCAGGCAGAAGGACCGAAGTACACTGCTGAGGGGAGCAGCGGGCAGCAGGAGAGGTCTGCGCGCCATGTGGGACCCTCCTCCAGTGGCCGGGGAGCAGCCGGGGATCAAACCGGCGCCGCAGAAGCTGCGGGCAGCCTTGCAACCCAGCGCTCAACCGCTGCGCCACCAGGGAGGCCATGAATGGCTCTTTTAAAAAGGCCTGACCAAAAAGACAACTCACAGAATGGGAGAAAATATGTGCAAAGCTTATATCTGAGAAGAGACTAGTATCTAGACTATATAAAGGACTACACAACTCAATTAAAAGACTAGCCACCCAAACAGAAAATAGGCAAAAGGATGTGAAGAGTCAACTCTCAAGAAGATATACAAATATACAAATGACCAAGATGCAAATGAGATGTTCAACATCATTATTCATTAGTCAAATCAAAAATCCCTCATCCTAGGGCCTTCCTGGTGGTGCAGGGGTTAAAGTCTCAGCACTATCAAGCTATCCCCAGCCACCGGGACATGAGTTCAATCCCAGCCACAGATCTAACCCACATGGCACAGCAGACCTCGCCTGTCTACTGCTATCTTGGAGCAAGGTCCAGAACAAAGGGTAATTATATGAATGGTCCCATATTCTTCACTTTTTCATATCAATAAATTACTAGTATATGAAATTATTTTTTTTAATTTTTAAAAAAGATTTATTTATTTATGCATATAAGAACTGGGGTACAGGCCAGAGGTGTGGGGGGGAGAGAGGATTCATCAGAGACAGAATGGGGAGCAGAACAGGCAGACTGACTGAAATACACTGCTAAGGGGAACAGCAGGCTAGACAGGAGAGGTCTGCTGAGCCATGTGGGTAGCTCCCTGGGCTGCCAGGATAGAATTCATGCTGCAGAGGCTGTGGACAGCTTCACAGTGCTGTGCTTAACCCCTTGCACCACCAGGGAGGCCAAGTACATGAAATTAAACTCCACAAAGACTCCCCAGTGGTGCAGCGGTTGAGCGCTGGGTTGCAAAGCTGCCCACAGCCTCTGCAACGCTGGTTCGATCCCCGGCTGCTCCCCGGCCACCAGAGGAGGGTCCCACATGGTGCGCTCCCCTGCCGCCCGCTGCTTCCCTCAGCAGTGTACTTCGGTCCTTCTGCCTGTTCTGCAACCCGCTCTGGCTCTGGTGAATTCTCTCATCCTCCCGCGCTTCTGACTGTACCCAGTGCTTGTATAAATAAATAAATCTTTAAAAAAATAAACTCCACAAAGAGCTTCTGAATGCACAATAGCAATTTAATATCTCAGCAAGTATCACAGTCGAACTTTTATGACAAGACCTGCAATCAGAAATTTCCCAATACAAAATAATTCAAGAAATTCTCCAAAGTACAGGAAAATGATGGTTGTGACAATTACTTTCAATTCTGAAAACAAAGTTAACAGTCACAGGTGTAACTACTATTAATGCATCAGTATGAGGATATACTAAATTCATGAGAAAAAACTTTCTTTTCTCTCAGGCCTCAAGAGACATTTAGGGACCTCAGTGCCACCAGCATACCACAAATCTCTAGCAGTAAACAAAATGAAAGAAAATACCCATGTTTCTAAATTAAATATTTAATATTCAATATAAATGATAGCATCATTTACTATATACAGTAACTTTAAAAATTTACTGACAAATTTAAAAGCTATTAATCCCCTTTGATTTTAGTAATCCATGAAACCCAGAAATCTCAAAATCATTTTCCTATATTATATATAAAATAACTGCAAATGAATCTGATTACCAAAAAAAAACAAAACAAAACACATACCGGGCCACCCAGGTGGTGCAGGGGTTAAAGTCAGCGCTATCAAGCTATCACCAGCCACTGCACCATGAGTTCAATCCTCAGCCAGGGAGTTAACCTACATGGTGCAGCAGACCTCTCCTGTGTTGCCCACTGCTCCCCTCAGCAGTGTATTTCAGTGGATTCACCTGTTTGCCCCCAACTCTGTCTCTGGTGAATCCCCTCACCCTCCATACCTCGTGCCTACACCACAGTTCTTGTATGCATAAATAAATAAATCCTTTAAAAAGTATTTACTTTAGGTGAAGCTGTCCACAGCCTTTGCAGCGCCAGTTCAATCCTGGCCAGCCAGCGAGGGTCCCACATGTTGCGGCAGACCTCTCCTGTCATGCCTGCTGCTCCCCTCAGCAGTGTATTTCATAGTCTGCCTGTTCTGTTCCCCGCTCTGTCTCTAGTGACTCCTCTCACCCTCCCACGCATCTGGCCTGTACCCCGGTTCTTGTATAAATAAATCAATCTTAAAATATATACATTTAATAAATAAAGCAAAATGATCCAGGATTTCTTCTGTAAAATAAGAGGCCTAGCATAAATGATTTCTGACAGTATTTTCAGATTAAGGGTATAAATAGAGTTTTTTGTAAGTATGGACTTCTATGGTGTTCATAGTCTTATAAGAAAGGATTTTTACTGTTAGTTATAAAGGCACAAATACATGTTATCGCTTGTAGCACTATGACTCACACTGAATAAGAGTCCACACCCATACCTTTTTTACGGAAAAAAAAATGCTTACTATTTGACAATAATCACACTGTTTCAATCTACAAGCAGTTAATATTACCTAGTTGATTTTAAAATACAAAGAAGTGAACTATCATACCAAAAACTCAATTTTTCTGTTCTTCCAACAGTTCTCATATTCAGTGGATTACATCCTTCTGACTATTCCAGTCATGTGAAAGCTGAATGATTTTTCCCATAAACAATGAAGTAACAGAGCTTTGCTCACCAAACTTGGAACCCACACTCTGAGGCGGAAACTGTGCAACAGTACCAAGGAACAAATAAGAAGATGCTAACTTCACAGAATGTCCAGTATTTAAGAGGAGAAACTAAGGGCTGTTACAAATTTTCACAGGCAAATAAAAAACTTTCATGTTAAACAGAAAGAGATGCCTTTGATTACAGTTCTTTTCTTATTAAAGATTTATTTATTTATGCATTCAAAAGCTGGGATGCAGGCCAGAGATGCGGTGGGTGAGAGGATTCACCAGAGACAGAGTGGAGAGCAGAACAGGCAGACCTACTGAAATACACTGCTGAGGGGAGCAGTGGGCGGGACGGGAGAGGTCTGCTGTGCCATGTGGGTCAGCTCCCTGGTTGGGGATCAAACTAGTGCTGCAGTGGCTGCGGACAGCTTCATAGTACTGTGTCTTAACCCCTATAATCTGCCTGTTCTGTTCCCTACTCTGTCTCTGATGAATCCTCTCACCAGGGAGGCCCCCTTTATTTACAGTTCTACAAATGTTTAAGATCTAGATTACTGCTTTATGTAAACTATTCAATACATAAATTGGAATACTATTCAATACATTGGAAACAAATAAAGATCAGCAGTTTATAGTTTCATGTAGGATTTGCTTATCGCCTGTCCTCTCCACGAGGCTGCAAGCACTCTTAAGGACAAGAACCACTTCTGGTTTTTGTTCACCACT